TCAGGCGGGGTGAGTCCGGGGCAGTTGCCTCCCGCAGAGACCCGCCCCAAACGCGCAGCTGTGTTTCTGGTGAGCCATCTTTGCTCCGCTGCGGGGAATCGGTCTGTTCAGGGCTAAGGGAAGGCCCGGGAGGGGGCGGGCAAGAACCTTGGGTGCAGTCAGGGGGTTGTTCCAGAAGGGATCAAAGTCCTGGGGACGCTGTTCTATCCGTGACCTAATGAACTTCGGCTCCGTCTGTCTCAGGCATTTACGCCGCCGATAGAGCGAAGGCGATCCTGACCAGGAGAGCCCACGCCGCGAGAGGAGATGCGCGCGTTTATTGTAAGTGTGGGGCGAGGACGGGATCGTGTTTTCCGGGTGATGTGTCTCGGAGACCGACTTATTTGCAGGGAGGAACTTGCCGACGTGGGCACCACCCTTCCGTAGGTAGGCTCCTGGGCATCAGGTGTCCGAGGAGGGTCAGGTGTCTCCGCGCTGTCCCTTGTCGGGCAGGTCTGGAGGCTCTGCTGCCCGAGGAAATCGAGGCACGAAACGGAGCCCGGGTGTGGGCAAACATCCACACCTGACCGACTGCGGGGCCCAGGCCAGCCCTGCCCCACATCCCCAGCTCTGCACCACATTCTCAGCTCTGGTTTTTCCTTTTCCTAACCTGTGAGGCTTGGCAGATCCTCCTTTATCCGGGTAGGACCTTAGCAGAGTGTCTGAGACTCACCTGGGGTTGAATTCCCATTGAGCACCCCACATGAGACTTTGATCAAGTTAAAATTCACTCTTCCTCAGAGTGAAGATTTTATCACTTAAAACTTAGGAAGTGCTCAGAACAAACATCCTGGGACAGGTTCTGAGGGTCCGGCCCAGGCAAAGGGCTTGCATGGCACCTTGGCACTGGGGCATACTTGGCATAGTTGACAGGTGGAGTGTTCACTTTTTTTTGGGGGACAGGGTCTTACTGTGTAGTTGAGACTACCCTGGAACTCACTGTGTAGCCCAGGCTGGTCTCGAACTCACGGGGATCCTCCTCCCTCAGCCTCCCCAGTGCTAGGATTACAGGCGTGCTCCACCATTCCCGGCTTCATGGAGTGTTCACTTTTTAAAGCCCTTTCATCTCTCTGACATTGTTTTCAGTAGTAGTCTAGAAGTGAATAGTAATATAGAATGTCCAGAAAAGAAATCCATAAAGCGAACATTTTCTTCTACTGAACTTCATATGTATATAATCATGCCTATAAAGAAGTAATGAGAAATTAATTAAACATGGTATAACAAAAACAGGAAAAAGTAGTGGTTTAACTGGTTAATGGATATTTGAAAAGAGGAAAAAATATACTTAAGGTAGGTTATTCACAGTAATGAATAATTATAATGCTACAAATTCTGTTTGTAAATCCCCGGCCCTATTAAAACATTTTTTGAGACGGGGTTTTGTTATATTGTCCAGGCTGAACTTGAATTTCTGGGCTCAAGCAATCCTTCTTGTCTCAGCCTGTTAGCCATCTGGGATTATATGTGTGCACCACCACATCTGGCTTCTAGTGGCTTTTAAATATCTTCACATTTAAAGCATTTTTGGTAAAACTCTTAAGCCAGAAAACTCATCATACATTTTTATTTTACTTGACAAAATTCCCCAACTTTTTCTTCATCTGTGAAAATCAGGGAAAATGGCTGAATGATTGTGAAATTTGACATTTATTTCATCCAACGTTCTAGACCAAGAGTCTAGTTCTTGGTCACTCTTTAATTTCTCTGGCACCAGGAGACCAGACTGTTTTGTTTTCTGTTTAAAGGAAGTATAGGACCACAGGGATTGCTATCATAAAATGTGTATAAAGTGAGCTTGAATCGTTATTAGTTCAAACAGATAGATGATGTGGCTGAGTCTATGTGGCTCCAGGGTTGACTATGTAGCTGTGTTATTCCATTTAACTTCCATGCAGAGGACAAAGGTTTTAAAAGAATAAGAAATAAAAATGTGCTAATTGGAGGCCTATATGTGTATATAGATTAAATTTTTTTCCAACGGTGACCCCTCTCTGTCTGGCTGGACATAACTGGTTGTTCTTCCTTTATGCCCAGCCCAGCAATTATAGTTGTTCCATAAAAAGGGCTATGGCAGTGGAGGCAGCAACAAGTTGTCCTGGGGAGTCAGGGAAGCATTGAGGAGTAGAAATGTGAACGTTGAGACTTTTTTTTTGTGTGTGTGTGTGGGGTTGGGGATTGGACCCAGGGATTCACGCTCTCTACCATTGAGCTATACTCCCATCTTTTTTTTTGTACTGGGAATTGAACTCGGGTCCTTGCACTTGTGAGGCAGGTGGCAGAACCGCTGAGCTAATTCCCCAGCCCTATACTCCCCGTCTTGAGGGATGAGTAGAGTTTACCAGGGGAACAGCTCTGGAGTGCCCGGATGCAGAGGTAAGACTCACTCTGTGTGTACTTGCTCTAAGTGCCTTTGTGTGCATTAATTACTCATGAAGAATTGGCCTTTTTTTTTTTTAACGAGGAAGGAAAATTAACATTTGTATTATACCTAATATGGGCCACAAATTGTGCCAGATGTCTTACATAAATTTAATTAAATTCACACTATTCTATAGGGAAAATAGTAGTATTATTCACTTTGCACATGTGAAGACAGTGCTTGGGGAGGTTAAGTAACTTCCCTAGTCCTACAGAGGTACAGGCAGGACATCAGTGTGGATCTCCAGGCCTCAAAGCCATGGGCTTTTCACTGAACCATGTCTAGCAAGGGCACATTTGAGAAACTGTTCTGTTGTCCATGTGTTGAATGGACCACCCTGCCACAGTTTCCATGCGTGCAGATTTAGTTCTGAAACAGACACACTTCACTCTGTTTCACTTTCCCATATACCTGAATACCTGAACACTGCCCACCCTATCATTAGATTTTGGGTTCAGGTAGACCTGCAGTGGAATCCTCACCTTGCTTCTGGGGACTCTGAGACCTGGGGCAAGTTAATTCCCATTTCTGGGCTTGGTTTTCTGGTCTGTACAATGGGACTCCAGGGGACATGTGAAAACCCCAATGAGCTTTGCTTCCTTTTCCCAAGATGCCTGTGACTTTTGGGCTCCTGAGGCTGTTCCTAGTGCCTCCTGGAGCTGCCACTCCCTTCCCAGCTGGCAAGAAGAATTAGGCTCAGGGTAGGAGGGGAAAGGGTAACATGTCAGGCCACTTTTATTTATTTCACTTCCACCTTTGCTTTAGGCCCGAGCTTGGGAAGTCGGGGCAGTCCAGCATTTTTGTGTCTCTTATACCCACCTAGCCTGTGGCATGTGTTTTTGTTGTTGTTGTTGTTGTTAAAACCATACTGTCTATTCAGGTGTTTTATAGCATTCATCCTCATTATATCCATCAATCCTTATACAAAACCTGCTGAGCAAGTACTGCAATTCTGTTCATCCAGAAAGCTCAGAGAGATGTTAAGTGATTTCTGAAAGTTACACAGCAACAGAACACAGGAGATTCAGCTGAGGTCCTTGAGGGTGGCCTGGGCTCTGCTTCTTGGTACACAGCCTCAAAGAGATTGACACCCAACTCTTCATGGGTTGCTTCTTTTGCTAAAACTTTGCCGTGGAAACTCCTGACTCCCTGCTTGGAAGTCCCTGGTCAGCAATCCAGATTTGACTTTGATGCATCCCAGTATTCTCACATTTCCCCCAGAGTTTCAAAAGTGAGAGAGGATGTGGTTTCTGAGAACTAGGAGGAAAACAGCTTCAGTCTGAGTTTCACAATCTCCCAGAGTCTCTAGGATCCATCTGCGACCTGACCAGATAAAAAAGAATTGGGGGGCAGTAATTTATCTCAGTGGCACCATGCCTGCCTTGCAAGTGCAAGGTCTTGAGTTCGATCTCCAGTACAAAAAAAAAAAAAAGAATGCCAGGCATGATAGCAGCAGAAATGATTTCCTAAACGATTCCTGTGTACTGTGTTTTGTAGCTGTTGACTTATTTGGTCCTTAGGATAATCAGCCCCATGTTACGACTGAGGAAACTGGGTAAACTTGCAACAGGGCAGCAGCTAAGCCTGGATTTGAAATCAAAGCCCTGAATATAACCACTGTGCTGTCTGTGAAAAGTAAATCCATCTTGATTGAAAAATAGAGCAGTCATACTCATTTTCCTACAGAAAATTTCCTATTTTTGTACTCCTGAAATGTTTCATAAAAAAAATCAAGTCCCCCAAGCCCTGATGAGACAGATGGGATGTAAGTGGATCAGAATGTGACCTGACCCCTGCCTCTTTCATCCCTGGTACAAAACAAACAAATGAAAAAACCAAGAATGCGGCCTGAAATAGCCTCGAGTGAAAGAAAAACAGTTTCTGTTCTGTTTCAACTTTTGAGTTGAAAAGCGTCCTTGAAAATGCTCTCCTTCACTTTCCAGTCTTGTCCAGTGCCCAGGGCGAGGGGCATGGACTGAATCTAAACTGTAGGGCTTGAGTGGCAGTCACTCTGCAGGGACTAGAACTGACGGGGGCTGAAATCTGCCATAGGGAGGGGGGCTGTCTCCTCCTCGCATGCTTGGGGGAACCTGTAGGATTGACACTGTAACACTGTAACTCTGCGGATCAGGTGGCCTCATCTCCCCCAGCCTGTTTCCCCACCTGTGAAATGAAGCGTGCCCACCCATGGCAGCCTAACTTTTCAGTCTGTTTCCCTTGTGGGTCTCACTCCGGGCTGCACAGCAGAATCATCTGGGAACTTTAAAAAAATAGTGGGCCTGGGATCCACCCCTGCGATTTTGCTCTGGTCACACTTCAGGAGCACCTTGCGATTCCGGCTCGGCCTAGTGCTTTGCTTTTCTCCTTGGTGCCCCTGCTCACCTGTCTCACAGACCCCTTTAAAGACCACTTCTTCACTGATTGCAGTGCCGTGCAGGACTTAGACGTCCTGAGATCTGGGTTCAAATTCTGTCATTCCACAGCTAGTTTGCCTTCATCTTTCAAGCCTTAAATAAAAATTTTGGGTTCTGAGTCTTTTCGCTATCTTTAGTTCTTCTCCTCCAATTTTTCTTAAACCCATTTGAGTGAGGCTTTTGCCTCTAACTCCCAGTAGAACCTGTACTCATAAAGGTCACTGACAATCCTCATCCAAGACCATGCTCCTGAGCCAGGTGGGGGTATGCAGCTGCTCCCCTCACGTCTCTGCTGGCAGCCTAGCAGACGTTGTGGCCCAGCCTGCCTGGGCCTGAGCCTGCAGTCCTCAGCCTGCTCCTCTGCAGCCAGCCTCATGCCAACCTCTTTGTTGCTGTGGCCAGAAAGCTTGGGATCATCTGATGGCTTTTTCCTTCGCATCCCTCCT